GATTATATCCACTTTTACAGATTTTACTTTTGCAAAGGCTTTATAAACATTGAATAAAGAGTCGGATGAAATCTTCATAGTCGATCTCTTGAGTTAATACTGCTCTATCAACACAGGAAACCTGCGCTCTAATTCACATTCCATATTTGCGTTTTCAATCTTATTATTCAGGAAATCTAATTATCTGCGTCATATCCGGACTTTTCGGATATCGAAAACACGCACAAAACTATGATCGTTGCTAAAACTACCCACAAGTCACATACGACTACATACGAGTAACATACGACTTATACGACTACATACAGGTTACATACGACTACATACAGGTTACATACGAGTAACATAGAGCGGATTTCGTATGAGTGGGACACCGTTACCGCACGGTTACCGCACAGTTACCGAACCTGGCCTTCACAATTTTGGTGAACCAATGKGGCACTAGAATTTGGTTACAGTACGATTACGGTCACAGTACAGTACCGTCCGTTTCCCAGTCATACGAAATACGCTCTACGACTACATACGACAACATACGACTACATACAATTACGAAAAAATAGTAGCGGCACTTATAGGTTTTTTTATAGGTTCGTCTCTGGACGAACTCCCGGACAGAATGTCACGGGCGAAAAACTATATGTCCAGGAGTCAAAATAATTTACTGAAAGCATAGGAGAATGTAAATCCAGTTTTATTAAAGATACTTTACTGTTTTTAGGTGCAGATATTCTGTCTTTCGACCAAATTTAGTTGAGCTTACTTCGTTCGTTGAACAGAAAACGATTATACTAAAAAGAGAGTAAAGTATCTATAATTCGACATGACATTTCCCGATCATTTTTGTCGGCTCGATTTAAGAAGAAGCTTTGAATTGTCACCTGAATGTGGTCAAATGGAAGGCTATTCTACAACTAAATACAGTAAAGTATCTTTGATTAGACTGGATTTTCATTCTACTGTGATTTTGTTGAACTATTTGACTCCCAAACATATAGTGTTTTGTGCCGATACTCTGTCGTCAGGGTCCTGGACCGAATTATTTTCAAGGTCATTTTTGTCATTTTAAAAGTTTTATTTTTTATTTTTTCGTACTTGTATGTAGTCGTATGTTGTCGTATGTAGTCGTATGTAACTCGTATGTAACCTGTATGTAATCGTATGTAACCTGTATGTAGTCGTATGTAGTCGTATGTAGTCGTATGTTACTCCCGGGGGGGGTACTTCCCCGAAACTTGTGTGGGGGTGTGCCGCTGGGACCTCAAAACCCTGACCCTGTTCCAGAGTGAAATCGCTGAAAACTATACCCTGTTCCAGAGTAAAATCGCTGAAAACGATACTCTGTTCCAGAGTAAAATCCTGCACTAGCTTGCGTGTAGACCGAATTTTTACCCCATGAATTTTTATCCAGCATCAATAATTCCGGAATTCAACCCTGACCCTGTTCCAGAGAAAATTCGTTGAAATCGATACCCTGTTCCAGAGTANAGGAGGCAGAAGAAACTCAAAAATAACCAATGGGAACCCCACTTTGCTTACAATATTTTCTTTTCTTGGTACTAACCAGTGGTTTTTGTAAGAAAAATGGTCTTTCATAGCGTATACGAGCCCTTTTGACATTAAAAAAWCTCGTGTAMTTTTCATAACAATGCGAACTCGTGACTAGCTCGTGTGAATGTCACTATCGTAAACAGCAAAACCACTTCCGGTGATCACATGACGACATGCTGCGTATTTAAAAGAACTTTCTTCGCTTTGCCCGCAATCGTCGCTTTCAGAACGCTGTTTGCCTCTAAGAGTGTGTAGTCGAGGTCTCTTTGTTGGGAAGAAATGTTGTCCAAGGCTGTTCGGGCTGGTAGTGTACTGAATTGTGCTCGACCTTTGATACCAGCTACTGCCATTAAGCTTAAACGAAGAGGAATCGAGACAAAAATTCCACCAGAAACTCCTTCCAGCCTCAAAGGAGATCTTAAACTCGTCACAGGTAAAATACACAACGACGACAGTKTCATATATTTTTCACATCGTTTCTTGAGATATTTCGCCTGTATAGTCTTTATAGGAGTTTGATGCTACATTGTTCGCTATGTTTTCGTCCAATTCCCGCTAATCAGGCTAGATACAGAGACATCAGAAAACTGYATTTGCTCGTTTTGTTGCGTTCCGTTTCCCTTTTATTATGGCGTCTTGTCTCGTATCATGATTTCCTAAGTTATTCTAACTAAAATATTCGATACAAAAGCTACGTTTTCTTTTCTGACGATTTTTTCTTGTCGCGTGTTGTGAACTTAAGCTATTGTTTTTAACTTTTTTTACGTTACCATTATGTGTATTTGCATAAGTGTAGCTTAGTGATTTCGACGCAGTACTTAATCATTTTGAAATGCGTATTTTGACAATTACTGGGTGAGAGAATTCAATTCTGACAATTGAAAGGGTTTTTTCAATGTCTGGCAAATGTTTTGTCAAGTTCGCGTTACAGCGTGACATAAACATAACCGGCTTACAACCAGTTTTTTTTTAACTCTCTCATGAAAACAGGTTTCTTCAGGTTCTTATATTTCCCGTTCTATGCCAGCTCAATATTTTGCTCTTTTGGATCAGTTAATCTTTTTTCTATTTGAAGACAGGAATGTGCCATAAAAATGTTCTTTAATAAACCATACAATGGTATAAATAATTCAGTGTTTTGTACAAATAGTTTTATTGAAGTATTTTCAGACAATCCCTCTACAGTCTCCATTTCTTACAATGTTATTGATGATTAATACTGTATTTTAATGAACTTTATTCTTATGTTTGATTGGCA